ACCTGATCACACTAGTGGTCAGTGGTTGTACAAATAAGGCGTGGGTCCCAAGTCCCAAGTGGACCATGTATAGAGAATACTGTCATGACATGTCCATTGGTGATAAATGGCCCAACCTGTTATATATGATCTTGCCCCCAACCAATTCGGACTCCTTTGTGGGTGTTTAGTGTTTCACTAGGGATCATTGGAATCAAGTCGATAAGGAAGTTCTTCTTCTTAAACAAGTTTTTTTCGGTACAATGGAAGAACATTCCAATAACAATGAAGGATAAAGTTGCCTTGCATGTACAAAAAGCCTTAACTTCTCAACCAACCCATACAAGAGTACAAACCATTATTAGCTTAGCCATAATCAGCAGATCTGAACTATCGCTTTTAGTTTGTTTGTTTTGCTTTTTTTTTTTTTTGGGTCTCATTGGTCTCAGGGTGATCATCTTTAATCAAATCCAAGTTGGAAATTTTAAAGTTTGGGCTTAAGTTTTGTGTTCAAGTCCAATCCAACCCACAATATTTATAAGTAAATTATTTATACCTCCCTTTGACGTTTTTGACAAATACTTAATCCCCCCATCATTGACATTTAACTATTGCAAAAACTTTTCATGACCTTTTTGAAAAAAAGACAAATTTCTTAAACTACCCCTAAGGTTTAAGAAATTGATTAATTATACCCCAACTGTTTTAGTATTGTCTTAAAATATCCTAATTATTTCTGACAATTGACTACATCTTCCTTATTGTCAATATCTGTTAACAGAAGAATTAAAAAGATTATTTTATCCATTATTTTTCTTTACTTTTTCAAGAATAGGATGTAGATTACTACTTTTCTTTAGATGTACCTTCCTCTGCAAACATAGTGTATGGTTTCTTCTGAAATTGCTGCTTGAAGGAATGACACCAGTGAGGTTGTTGAAGGAGAGATTGAAATGAGTTAAGAGTTTTAAATTTCTAAGGGGGTCCAGGATTGACACCAGTGAGGTTGTTGCAAGTTTTGATCTCCGGGATCCTGCCCTAAAATCGGTTAACTGATGCATTGACAAAACTGATATTTTTCAATCCAAGGACATCAAAAGGGATTATTTCTCTCACTCTCTCCCTGTTCCATTGTCCACTAGCGATGGTGTACCTCTGGCATCACCCCTCCACTTGACCTCAATCAAGGATCAGTGTTCCCCTCTATCATACATCGAGTTGGAATCAAACAACAAAAAAAGTGTGGTTTGCCGTCTTCCCCAACGAGAATGACGAACCTAGTGGCGGTGTCACTCAGTTTTTCACCACGTTATTGGCTTCTCCAAACTGGCTGTTGGTTCACTCTTAGACCTCAGTTATCTCCCTCGATCGAAGGAAGCACTGCAACATCTAGCATATTCTCTGTGTCGGTGTCCGAGTTTTGACCACTGGAAGTTGTATGTGGGAATGCCCACTCTTTGTGCAAAGTCGTATGAGGAGTGTATGTATTTGGGGGCCGAGGGTTGAATGAATAGCTGCTGAAGCTTCTGTTGAAGTCATCTCAAGATAAGTGATTCGTGTGTGAAGAAGCAAACAGGGCATTGCAGTCTATGGTAGCTTCCATGCCGTCTGTTCCCTTTCTCCATAACCTCCCTCGCACTCCGAGAACCATTTCCTCCATGTCCACTTTCGAACTCCCCTGTAATTCCATCCACTCTCTGCTACACTACAGTTGCATTGCTCCATGAATCACCGACAAGAATCAGCGGAGGATTGATCCAAGTTCTATCTACTCTCTACTACCGTACGTACACCCAGACCAGGAAACCTGATCCAAGTTCGCCCCAGCATAGCAGACCGCCTGGCTTGAAGGAAACAGGAAGCCTCGGTTCTGCCGTTGTGTCGAGACTGGCAATGAAGTAAACAATTAAACTAGTCCCTGAAGGCTCTCAGAGCTTCGCAAATCGTCAAAGGCAGATGAACCCATCTCTAGTTCATGTGTTGCAGGCAATCCTGACGCGGCTGCGGATGAATCATGTCTCTGATTCCTGTGTTGCTACCAGGAATTGCTACCAAGATCCAGTGAGCGAATTGCTATCGAGATCTAAAAGCTCCAAGCTTTGGCAAGATAGAATCTGCTCGAGAACGTTCCCCGAGAGAAAATTGCTTCTTACAAACATAGGCTATTCTCGGAGGGGTACAAATTTGTGGGGGAAAACTTCCGTTGAGAATGTTGAAAGAAAAATAAAACCCTCGAGATTCAAACATTTGCAGAAGGATTGGAGGTGGAGGTGGAGGGGAAAATAGTTTCAGAAACGGTGGATCCGAGCATCTCTGGTTCCTTGCAGATCTGAGACGAGTTGCAGAAGGGGGAGAGTGTGTGAGAGAGTCATGGGTAAAATTGAGTTTTAGAAAAAAAATATATGTCACATATGTATACGGAATTTGACGGAATCTTAACGGATGATAACAGGATAGAGCTAGTCAATTATCAGAAATAATAAGGGTGTTTTAATACAATATAATTGGAGTATAGTTAGTCAATTTCTTAAACATCAGGAATAGTTTAAGAAATTTGCCCAAAAAAAACTATACTTATTGACTCCTTCCCGTTAATTCCATGTTAGAATCTTACACCCAATTGCCCATAAACCATGCCATTCGTAAAGCCCTTTTAGTGGTTTAGATATATTTATATTTTTTAAACACTTATTTCTAGCAGAGAGAAGTGTTCCATGCTAGAAAAGAGGAGGGGATGGATGATCTCATCTATTACAACACAACTACACGAGTCTTTATTTTGTATTATTGCTTTAAAGGAAAAATGAGAGGCATTTTAAGTTGTAGCTTCACAAGAAAATTGCTTTTATGCAAACGCCCCTCTTAGTAGGGGTGCACCTTGGGTGGGCCCAATCCGGCCTAACATGAAATTTTACACAGGTTGGGTTTGGGTTAAAAAATCGGGTTTTTCTATTTTTCGGGCCGAGCCTGGGCCTAGCCCTTAGGTAGCCTGAACCCAATCTAAGCCTGGCCCAATTATACACATATGTATATATTAGTTACGTATACATATTTACATATTTTGCATACATATATACATAAATATATATATATATATATATATATATATATATATATATATATATATATATATATATATATAATTTTAGAGTGGATTCATTGACCAACTCAAGCCTAACCTGGGTCCGAGCCCAACCCGAGTTAATCAAATTATAGTGTGGATTGGGCTCAGGTTGGGAAAACCGGGCTTGGTTTGGGCTCAGACCTTAAGCCCAAATGTTAAGGTCAGGCCCGAGTTGACCATAAATCCAGCCCAATCTGCCTAACTTGCACTCCTACCTCTTAGGTCCTGCTTATTTTTTCTTTTTATCCATTTACTCGAGTAAGTATAATTACTTACCGGAATAGGTGTTTCCTAGGAAACTTTTACATGAGTAAGTGTATTTAATTGTATTATTTTATTTCGATGGGAGTGAGATAATAACTATTTTATCCTTAAAAAAACAAAATTGAAAAGGAAAATATAATCCCATCATATGTGATTGTTACTTATCCACATGGGAGAATGATATAATGAACCCAAAAGACAATGTAATCATACCAAATTGCGTATTCGTTTTGGTTTGGTTTGGTTTAATTACTAGTTTGGTAATTGAATTTGGATGCCCCAAATACGTGTAATGTGAGAGGTCTTCAATTCACTTGATCGAGGCATCCTAGGTCTTAGCCATTTTCTCTTATTTTTTTAATGAATTATCCAATTAAGATACCAAAAAAGGGTCATATTGAGTCGACCCTTGGTCTTTAATCCTTAGTGTATAATTATGCTTGAGTCAAGGATTAAAGACCAAAAAGGGGTTGGGTGGTTTGCTCAAAATTAATCAAACATATATACTCTTCTCCCCTAATTTGTAAACTTCTCACCAACTTTCTCTCCCTCCTTCCATCTCTTAGCTTGTTCACAAATTTATAGTTATCCACTACATGAAGTTCAATCTGGGAAGAATGTAATTTTTGCAATAAACAAAAAGACTCAGTTTGAAAGGAATGCAAATACAAATACGAATATATGATATAAAACCCTGTAATTTGTACTATTTCTAAATTGAGCCAAAACAAAAATGTTATATCAAAACTTACAACCAATCATTTACATGCATGTATAATAGAGCAAGCATGACAATTGGGTTAAACTTACACATCCCAAGTCCCATAATTTCAAATGAGTTTATACATACATGATCTTTAGAAGTTAGTGCACAATCCTGTGATAAGACATGTATTTGGTAATAGGAGAATGATGGTTCAGCCCCCAAGGGCATAAATTTTAGGCCCAAAATACTGTTGGATAGGTGTCAATTCAGAATTGATGTGAATTTATGAGCGGCATTAGTGTGAATATTTAACATTTTGAATGTTTATAGTTTCTATTGTGGAATTCAAAAATCTGCATTTGGGCCTTTTCTACTTTTCCGTTTGATAATTGGACTTAGGTGGTGAAATTCGGATCTACTCTTTATGGAGCGTGCCTCACAGCCATATCTCTCCATAAATAATGAGACGGGATCTGCTCCTCACAAATGGACGCCTCACATGCACATCCACCATGCATTGGGAACATCTCCCATGAATATTCATTAATAAGTACGAGAGATGTTTCTATTGCATGTCAGGATGTGCTTGTTAGGCGCCAGCTGTGAGGAGCAGATCCTTCTCATAAATAATAAATACAAATATGAAAGATATTCCTGATGTGCGGCCAAAATAAACTGTAAGGTCAGAAGCGCGCTTGTGAGGAACAGATCCGGGCTCCTAGGTGGTGGGGCGCTCACGAGAGCGCGCTCACTGAATATTGAGCCAATGGTTGGCAAACGAGGTTCTGATAACGCAATGAGAGCGCGCTCATTGGATCAGGGCCACACGTATCGCCACTCAATTTTGGTTACTGTATTGTCTGTTTCCGCGAAGCACCGCAACACTGGGCCCGTATTGCACCCTGCGCATGCTAGCTTCAAGTCCGCATCCTCCTCATCACTCCTGAGTCCTGATTCTCTCCGTCTCTGATCTATTCCCCTTCTTTTCCACCACAATCACGTAGTCTTTTTCTTCTCTCTCTCTTGCTCTCTCATTTTGTGTTCATGGCGTCAGTTTCAGCTCCTCGTTTCCCTTCTCCAACTACTTACGCCGATCGAAACCCTCACAAATTCGGAAGCGCCAAATTTGCAGTTTCTCCATCTCGATGTTCTCCGCCATTAAAAAGAACCCCGATTCATTCCTCGTCCAGACCTTCAGACTCTGCTGTTTGTCGCTGTCAGAACCGCTCAAGTTCTCCGTCGCCAGCGGACGATTACGTCCACGGAGGATGGGATTCCTTCTTGCAGGACGTCGTGAAAAAGGCAATTAAGAGGTTCGACGACTACAAGAATTCTTATTGGAACCAGTCGAAGACTGGATTGACCATTGATGCGATGGAAAGGGAGAAAGACAGTAAGGAGGTTGATGATTGGGATTGGGATCGGTGGAAGAAGCATTTCAAGGAGGTCGAAGAGCAAGAGCGGATTGTTTCGGTTCTGAAGGTACTTTAATTTCTGATTACTCTTAAAGGTTTATATTACCAAGGACCTCACTTTTGTAGTTCCCGTTGAGAGGAATGTATTCAGGTGAAGGTTGTATGAAGAAGATTTAAACTGAAACTTAGGCTTAAGGGAAGTATATTAGGACAAAATCATAATCGATATGACGTTGGAACAAAATTTGAATTACGGATATTGGATATGCGGAAATTTGTGTATCAGAAATGCAAATTTTGAGATGGATTATTGGGAAAACTAGAAAGGATAGGATCGGAAACGAAAGTATTCAAAGGAACGTACGAGTGGCTCCAATAGGTATAAAACAATGGAAAGTAGAATAAGATGTTTTGTCATGTTTGGAGAAGAATATCTATAGCACCGGCGAGAAGAAGTTTTTTGTTACAAGTTGAAGGTAAGAGGAGCTAGGGGCAGACCAAAAAGGTCATGGTGAAGGTAAGAAGAACTAGGGCCAGACTAAAATGGACACGGGTTGAAGTAGTAGGAAATGATTTAAGGGCTCATAATTTAGCAATGGTCATGGCACTGGACAGGGCTGAATGGAGGAAAGGTTATAGAAGTGTCATAATGCAATACTTGAAAAGACAATGATGTTACGTCAAAACACACAGAGATCTTTGTTTTTATGGGATTTACAGTAACATTAATAGAATTCTCCTCCTTTGAGAGAAATACTTGATTCATTAATCCTATCCGTTCTAAGTTCTTTGTATGGCTGAATATGTATGCTGATTCCTTAATACCAGTGTCATCCCTAATAAATCGTCTGGTGAAAATCCTGAGTTTCAGTTTGTAGAGGTAGCCAGTGTCCCCAGTCTTGAAAAAAGAAGTACCAAGTTCCATCCTTGCTCACAATTAATAATGTGCTCATTCTTTAAAGTTTAAACATGTTAAAATCATTATCTTTTTAAAGATAATGTGCTCATTATCTTTTTAAAGTTTAAACATAATGAGTTGCATGATAGCTTGCTCTAAGTCTCTAACAACCAAGAGGAACCACCTGGACTGGGAAATTTACATTCAGTCTTTGAAAAGGATGGGAAATTAGCTATGGATCTCCTCATTCATTGTATTCTAATTAGACAGCTCTGGCTTGTTTCTCTGAGTTTGGGCAGGGAAGGATCTTTTCATTGGGTCATGTTTAGTCAATGGAGATGGCTGAGACTCAGGCCCAAAGGAATTCCTACTGAGGGCCAAATGCTGGTAGTTTGGTACCAGCAATTTGGGGTCTTGGGAGGTGGATTTGACATCTACCTAACCTCTAGCTTTATGGGTGTGAAATGACTTCTCTAAGACTTAAAACTTGTGTTCTCAAGCTTGTCAGTCTGAGATTTACCTTTGTACCAAGGAATGACACTATCAGCTATGTTGCCAGATACAGCAAGGACATGGGTGGACAAAGTGTTGGATTTGAAATTTAGTTTTACACTAAAAATTGAAGAGTCTCACATAATATGACCAATGTTTTAAAACGTGGAGGCGTGCCGCGGGGCGTTCCACTACCTAGAGGCATGAGGCGTAAGCCTCCTTAAGAGGAGGGGGATGAGGAGGAAGGAGGATCCCACTTTTCTTTATTTTTAATAAAAATCTTTTATATTAAGAAGAATGAAGAGGAAGGAGGATCCCACTTTCCTTCCCCTTATCTTTTCTTCCCTTCCCTTCCCTTTCTTTCCTTTTCCTTTCCTTTCCTTTTTTTCTTTTTTTCTTTTTTTTTTTCAGTCTTTTTATTTGTGGTGTGCATGAGGCGCATGAGGTGTATGCCTCTAGCACGCCTCATGAAAAAAGTGCATGAGGCGTACGCCTCAGAGGTGTCAGCGCCTCTGGTGTACGCCTCAGGGCATTTGGGAGCGCCTTGCCTGGAGGCACGCCTCCAGGCGTACGCCTTCCACGCATTTTAAAACACTGCTCTGTACAGCTTCTCATTGCACAGAGACTTATTTGTATATTGACCCTTATTTTGAATGAAATACTTTACCTTATACTTTCAAAATAAAAGTCTTAACCATGAATATATTGAAAGTTCTTTATGTTGCCTAGCACTATGCATGTCTGTTCAAGGCAGACCTTCCTGCCAATTTCTTAGTTTCATTGCTTTAAATGTTGGCGTGGCTATGTTCACCAGAGTTGTTATTTGATATTTTTATGCTATATAATTTTGCCTATGCTTACTTTTTTTTTCTTCATTTCAACAGTCACAGTTAGTTGATGCTATTTATAAAGAAGATTATGAAGAAGCTGCAAAACTCAAAGTAGCAATTGCAGCTGCAGCAACAAATGACACTGTTGGCAAAGTGACTTCACATTTTAATGTAGGGAAATTGTCTTCCGCCTTCCATTTCATTCCACAAGTATATATTTAAGTTACCTTGTTGTTTCTGTCATTAATGAAAGACCTCTTTGTTGTTGTAGAGAGCAATCAAAGAAGAGCGTTATCAGGATGCAGCTCGACTCCGAGATTATGCTGGTGCTGGATTGGTGAGTTAATTTCTGATATCTCGAGGATAATATACAAACACATGTCAAATTGACATTTTGTATATTTATTTATTTATTCACTATGAATCTTAATTATTTTGACCTCAAATGTCCTAGAAGTGGGTGATGGCATTTTCCTTCTCTCACACCATAATTGCCATCATCTTTACAGTTTGTTATTCCTGCAAGGATTTCCACATGTACCATCTTCATCCAGTCTCCTTTTACTGAACAAGCATATCTGTTGTAATGAATTTCCTGTTTGCAAGAAAACATATGGAGTTTCTATTGATCCATTTGCTCAGGTTGCCATTGGGTCGTTTGATAACAGCTGAAGTGCCTGAACTGAATGATTTATTTCTTTGTCTTTTAGTGAATAAGTTAATAAGGAAGTTTTGAACTCCTTAATGGTTGAAGCTGAAGTTGAGTTGATTGCTTTACTGTCCATTGTTTTACTATTTAATTATTTTAACAACTAAAGCAAAAAGCAATAAGTCATTCAGTCCAGCCAGTTCAGCTGTTACTAAACAGTCCCTAACACTAGCAGCCAGTCTGCTCTGTATTTCTTGGCACTGTCCTTCTTTTAATGGTAAAGAACGAATTTATTAACAAGAAAAAAGAGTGCAATCTCAGGTGATATAAGATATCACCAATACAAGGAGAAAAAGTAACCCCCTACTCCCTTGACACAAATTTCCAACAACTCCAGTAAACAAAAGCACAGGCTCCCTCTGATGACCTACAGACTTGACCACTCTGAGTACACTTCATACCTTGCATGTTCAAACCAAATACCCTTATACCCCCTAATATTATAAGACTCGATCCCCTCCCCTTCCTTCCTCTACTCCATAGAGGGTTTTCCCCTGATTAAATATTAAAAACAGAATGTTTTGGTATTAATATCGCTAGCAAAAGAACGTTATGCTTTGGAAGCTATGCTGGTGTGCTGGTCAATTTGGTTTTTGCAATCATGGAATAGTATGATGTATAGGAAAAGTGGGGAGGGCATTTTCTTGTTGATTATCTGTTTTAGTGGGAAGGACATCTTCATTCTGACAGATATCAGATATAAAAAATTTATCGGCTCAAGCCTCAGGGATATTCAATATACCCATTCTATAATCCATGGATGGTGAATCCATTTCTTCTTATTCTTCCTAATTTTTATGTACTTTTAGGTGGGGTGGTGGGCTGGCATTTCAGAAGGCTCAGGTGATCCTTATGGTCGAATTATTCGTATAACTGCAGAACATGGAAGATATGTGGCAAAAAGTTACAGTCCCAGGTGGATCTCTAACATATTTTAAGGTTTCCATTTTGAGAATCACCAATGAATCTCCTAAAAGTTAGAAGTTACAATTCCAGGGTGATTGTACTCTACTCCATCTCTTCTCTTTGCTTTTTTTATATTCATAGCAATTTTAGTTGTTGATTTAAAATGCAAATTCTATGGTACATTGGTACTAAACTGTGGTTTTGGTTCTTGTATCATGAATCACTGCTTAGTTGTTCATGTTGCACATGGGAGCTTTGTAACTTTGCACCCATGCTTTTCTAGACATGGGCTTACATTTGACTTAATCAGTAGTGGTGTTTGGTTATGATGGGCCAACCTAACATGTGCAATATTAAACAGCTGAACAGTGATTTTCAGTACCAAGGTGCCAAAAGCTGCTGTTACCATAGAATGATCCTAAAAAGAAATACTGTTTACCGGGAAGCAGTTGAACAACACTCCCTGTGCATATCTTTTATGCAAAACAAGTGGTGAAAGTGCCTTGCATCTGCTAATCTCTTGCAATTTTGCTTCTGCTATGTGGATTTCTTTTTTTGCTCTTTCTGTGTGCAGGTGGACCCCTCCAGATGACTTGAGAAACCAGTTTAATGCCTTATTCTTTTCCCCAGGCAAGATAATGTGGAGATGTATGAGTGCTACAGTAGTTTGGTGTTTATGGGAAAAAAGAAATGCAAGAATATTCAACGATAAGGCTAGGAGCATAGAAGAGAAGAGATTATTGAAAACATAATCATCAAGGTGGAACACTGGGCTAAAACTATGGAGGAATTTAGACATTTTACCTCTGATGCGTTATGAGAAATTGAAGATCGGTGGCTGAATCCTCAGTTAACAGAATTATCATGTAATCACACCGCCTATTGAATCATAATCTTGAATTTTGATGGTTGCAGCCTAGACAATTTTGGCCAATCAGGAGTAGGGGGAGTATTCAGAAATGATGCAGGGAATATATTAGCCTTATTTTCCTGGCCAGCAGGGGATGGTGACTCAACAAGGGCAGAATTGTGGGTGGTGTTGGAGGGATTGAGGGCAAGCACTATGAACTGCAGAAACATGACAGTAGAAGGATTCTCGGGTTGTCATGAGGTGGCTGAAGAGAAACAATAAGGGTCTGTGGAGATATAGACATGTAATTAGGGAGATATTAGAAATTATGGAGTTAAAGGTTACTTTTAGATGGGTACCGAGATCTGCCAATGGTATGGCAGATGGTTTAGCAAACTTGGGGGCATTAAGAAAATCAACTATTTCAGGGACAGTTTAGCCCAAGGTGGTAGTTGTATTGAATCCTAAATGGTGTGGTTAATTGAGGCTAACCACTACATTGGAATATCATATGAAACAGAAATGCAATGATACTTGTTTTTCATCATTGTTAATAAAATTTATAACTGTTGCTTGTTAAAAAAAAGAAGAGCAGTTGTGCAACTTTGGCCAGAATGGTCCAACCTAAGCCCAAACCTTCAATTCTAACTCATCCTGACCTGAAGCTAACAGAGCAAAAATAATCACTAAGCTGTGTAATCCTAAGCCCTAACCAATTTGACTCAGTTTTCTTAGTTTTTGATGGGGTTCGGGTTACTGCAGAAGAATGAAGTTCTCTCCCTTGGCATTACAAGTCCTTTTTCCCTTGACAAAACTTGTTGCTATACATCTCCTGCCCACCACATCTTCTGTAGCCAACTCCCACCTTGACATGTGTCTGTATTCCCTTTTCTTCACAAATATGCAGTTGGAGCTCAAAAGAATCAAACTTACCAGATCAAGAAGAAAAATATCAAAGCACCAAAACAATTGGAGAGAAGCCCGTGTGTCTTCACAATTGGTAGGTCAATCAAGAAGGGTGGCTATGGAGGTGGAAGGAATATCAGATAGGAGTCTTTTCTCTGTTGCTGTTTCATCGGTAGTCTTTCCCTTTGGAAGTCCATAAGCAAAAGAGGTCAAAAGCTGGGTTCCAGTGGGTTGGGAACTAAGGCCAAAAACATGGTGACTAAATTTAGTGGTGCCCTCTTCTTTTTCATTTTCTTCTCCAAATCTGAGGTCTTTCATGTGTGGAAACATGGTAGGAATCCTACTAATATTCAAATTCAAATGGTATCCTGTCCTACAGAAAAGAAAAAAGAACAAGAAAACAGATGCTTTGGTACAACAGAGGGTGGATAAAGGGAACTTGTTTTGGGAGTGATGTAACTTGAATGGTGTAATTTCAATGACAAAAAGCAATTAGGGTGGGTGAGCTAGGTTGGTCTATTTGAGGGGATGCCTGGCATCTCTGTATATATTAGAAACTGGCCAATTTTACTAATAACTATATACTAGTTTATGCACATGTTTTGAGCTCTATTATTGGTTGGATGAGAGAGGGATCTTAGGCCCTTTGGTCTTTTTATCATCATATTGAAGTGGCTAGATCTCTGGGATCTGGATTGAACATCTTATTCAGATGGATTTGGAACCAGATAATTTATTGGCTGACAGTTTGGTCAGGGAAGGAGTTAGTAGTATTGGTTGTTGATTGTTCTGAGATAAATCTTTGTGATTTTCTGTTATTGTTTGTATTGCTGTACAAGCTGGTTGGCCTTATTTTGATGCAAGGTATTTTGTTATATCTCAACCTTAGGGGAGCTTGGTGGTTGTATTTACCTTTTTCCTTTGTTCTCTTTTATGGAGTCTTTGTTATTGATCCCCAAAAAAAGGGCTTTCATTTTGCTTCCAACAGATATACTGTTGGAAATATTGTCATGTTATGTTAGATATGAAGTGGGTAATGGGGATAAAATTAAATTCTGGTCTGATCTCTGGTGGGGAGAGTCTACCTTGGCAACCTTGTTTCCTAGAATCTTTAATCTTTCCTTGAACCAAGAAACCACTGTATCGGCTTGTTTCTCCTTTACCTCCTCTATCCTTAACCGGAACCTGAACTTAAGAAGGCCCCTAAGGGATGGAGAACTTGAAGAGATTACCCACCTTAACCCATTCCCTAAGGGAAGTCTATCTCTCCCCTTCGTCTCGTTCCCTGGCTCTTTCTCAACAAGTCCTCCAAGGAACTAACAGCTGAAGAGAACGATGCCCGTTTCCCCCTTAAAGAAGATCTGGCTTTCTCACATACCTCCTTGAGCCTGCTTCTTTGCTTGGGAAGCTTGATTGAACCCTTGAATATAATAAATACTGTTGATTTGATTCAGAAGAACTGTGGAAAGCTTTACATCTCCCCACATACCTGTATTCTATGCCTGCAGGATGGTGAATCTGCTGAATACATTCTAATTCACTGTCAGGTTACTAGACAGGTTTGGAACTTCTTTCTGAATCTTGTTGGGTTTTTGGTCTGCTCTGAACTGTATCTTGGACTTCATTTGGCAATGGCAGAACTTCGGTTTTAGCAAGAGAGGAAAAACTTACTGGGCTACAGTAATTCATGCTGTCTTGTGGGGTGTTTGGGAGAAGAAACAGGCGAATCTTTGAGAACAAGAGCAGAGCTACTGCAGACTTGATTGCCATATCTTCTTTTACTACAACTTGTGGAGTGTAAATGACTAAATGCTGAAATATTTAAAGGAACTTCCTTAAATGACTTGCAGAGGAACATAACCAATTTTTTTCCACTCTTCTTCTTGTACATTGACAGCCCCATCGGCTTATTCCTCCACTCAAGAGAGGGATTTGATGCTAAACCTTGATGGTAGTGCTTTAGGAAATCCAGGGATGGCTGACATTGGTGGTGTGATCAGGGACAACGATGGTAACACCTGCTGGGCCTTTAGTGGTTCAAAAGGTATAGCAAATTCTACCAAGGCTGAAGTCCTGGCAGCCCTCACAGGTATTCAAATTACTAAAGACTTGGGCCTTACAAGCTTAGCCATTGAAGGTGACTCGGCAAACACAATCAAGTGGTTAGGGGAGAAAGATGGGGACCCTTGGAAGCTGGTCCATTATCTGACCGAGGCCAGGGACTGGCTGGTATGAATGCAACACTCATGGATTCCAAGACAGCGAACCCACTTGCAGACAGCCTTGCAAAATCAGGGACCAGATTCTCTTTATTAGTGACTTTACTCTTCTTGTGTAACTGAGTGTGTCTTCCTTTTTTTTTTTTTTTTTTTTTTTTCTGTGCATCTCCTCATGTACCCAAGGATTAAAATTTCGATACGATATGCCTTGTATCGGGCGTATCGTATCATTGGGTCCTGATACACCTTTTTTTTAATAAAAATATAGTTAAATACACCCCCAAAAATAAGGTTTTGAAAAAAAAACAAAAAAAAAATAATATAAACGCGCACACAATGATTTAAAAGGCGCGCCTAGGCACACAGACAATGCTTTAAAAGCGAAAGGCGCAAGGGCCATTTTGCATATGAGGCGCAAGGCGCACTATTAAAAAAAAGCTAAAAAAAGTCAAAAAAATTTCAAAAAAATGCCAAAAAATTCAAAAAAATATAAAACATAATATTAATAAAAATATAAACTTAAATTTTAAAATAAATGTTTTAAAAAACCTATTATCTAAAATTAAAATACATAAACATAGTATGTAAAGTAAAGCATATTCAAATGAGAATTTAAAAATGAAATCAAACATATAAAACATTTTCAAGCATATAAAACCCACAATCTCTTTTTTTCTCAATTACATCAAGTAGGCTAATACTACAACCTTACTGAGTAAGTGGTTGTGAAGATTTCCGATGGACCAAGACAAACTGTGGACAAAAGTGATAAAGAGCATTCACGGGCTGGCGGTAGATGGTTGGGATGCTGGAATTTCGGCTAGAGCTTCAGCAACAACACCTTGGAAAGCCATCCATGCCATTCTTCCTTGTTTTCTTCCCTTTGTCAGGTACAATTTGTTTCCTTCCCTTTTCTCCCTTTCAAGATACAAAAACTTAACTGCCTCTTCTTTAGTGTCTTCCGTTGGTTCAGGACTTCAGATTAATTGGGATTTGGGTTTCAGACGAGGCCTTAGAGATTCTGAGATGGATTTGGTGTGGTCCTTGATTTAGGTTCTCCAAAAGGTTTCTTTAGATCCGATTAAGGGGGATTCCTGAATTTGGACCCTCTCTTCTTTTGGATCTTTCAGTTGTGCCTCCTTTTTCAGTGCCCTAGCCCACTCTTCTGTTGCTCCTGCCTCACCCTTCCCTTCTAAAGAAGTGTGGGGAAGACCGGTCCCACCTAGGGTTGGAGCACTCTGTTGGGAAATAACTTTGAAAAGAATTAATACCTGCAATCTTCTTCAAAGAAAGAAGCCTTTTTGGTGCTTGTCCCCGCACTGGTGTACCCTTTGTAAAGCTGATGGTGAGTCTTGTTCTCATTTACTTATATCCTACCCTTTTATTTCTTCTATTTGGGAGTGGTTTCTCTCTTTATTTGGTTGCAGGTGGACTCCTCCATCATGCATTCGTAGCCTCTTCACCTATGCAGTTGGTTGTTGGATCAAAAAGAGGGGAAAAATCTTGTGGAGGTGTACTAAGGCAGCATTTTGTTGGATGATTTGGGAGGAAAGGAACCAAAGGATATTTGCTGAAAAAGAAAGAAGTAGGGACACAATTATAGAAGTAATTTCATTGAGGGTATCACAATGGGTAAAAACAATGAATCTCTTTGAGGGTGTTCCTCTCTGATGGAAGGCTTTATCAAACTCAACTTTGATGGGAGCAGTGAAGGAAACCTAGGGCCATCACGGATTGGTGGTATGTTCAGAACAGAGGCAGGTTTAGTTATAGCTCTTTTTTCTGGATCAATTGGAGTTGGAGGCTCTTTGAGAGCAGAGATTCAGGCCCTCCTGGAGGGGGTAAAAAGGTCTAAGGAGTTGAATATAAATAAGTTGATTATTGAAGGTGATTCGCAAGTGGTAATTGGTTGGATAGAGAAGGCAAACGATGGGTTATGGGCTTACATTAATGAAAAAAGACATTTCAAGTGTCTAACCCAAGGAATGGATGTGCGTGTCCGGTGGGTTAAAAGATGTGCTAATTCATTTGTAGATACTTTGGCCAAACAGGGGGTGGAAAGAAGTCATTTGTTTTGGGCTACTATGTAATCTTATTGTTGGGGGGTGGTAAGAGGGTTTACCTCCCCCACCTTTCTATTTTAATTTTCTTATAATTTAATGAAAGTTTCTTGTTACTGATAAAAAAAAATCAAGTAGCTAATATGACATATTACATTCCTAATTGTACAAGCCGTCTTTGTGCTATGCCCCTCGAGGCAGGCCCAAACAAGTCCATGTTAAGGTCTTAAATTCTTAGTTTTCACACAAAAAATAATGATTTTATAGTTTTAATTGCTTTTAAGAAAATATTTTATTAGGATGAATGAATGGACAACATTACCAAATATGGGGCCTCGAGGGGTGTGTTACGGGGTCTGGGGCTCCGCCCTAGACCCAACCGCTAGACTCAAAAAATGGAAAAAGCATCAAGTTTTCAAAAGGTGCACGCCTAGGCTAAGGCGCAAGGCGCACCAGGTGCACTAGGTGTGTGCCTTTTGAATGGGCTGTGCCTAGGACTTGGGTGAGGCGCCTACCCTAAAATGCGCCTCACCTGTGCGCCTAGGTGAGCCTTTTAAATCATTGCGCACAGGCGAGGCACATTTTAGGGTAGGTGCCTCGCCCTGGTCCTAGGCGCAGCACAGGTGCACGCATGGCGTGCCTAGGCGTGCGCCTTGCGCCTTGGCCCAGGCGTGTGCCTTTTGAAAATTGTACACTTTTTTGCACTCGAGCTTTGAGAACCCCCTATTTGGTAATGTTGTTCATTCATTCATTTTAATAAAATATCTTCTTAAAAGGCAAATAAAATTATAAAATCATTATTTTTGTGTGAGAATTAAGAATTTAAGACCCTAACATGAACTTGTTTGGGCTTGCCTCGAGGGGCGTGGCACAAAGGCGACTTGTAGAATTAGGAATGTAATATGTTTTACATCACATTAGCTACTTGAAGTAATGCAATTGAAGAAAAAAAGAGATTGTGGGCTTTACACGCTTGAAAATGTTTTATATGTTTGATTTTATTTTTACATTTTCATTTGAATATGCTTTACATGTTATGTTTATGTATTTTAATTTTAGATAATAGGTTTTTTAAAACCATTAGTTTTAAAAATTAAGTTTATATTTCTTGTTAATATTTTTGCATTTTTTTTTATGTTAGCAATTTTTTGTATTTTTGTGCTTTGCTTTAAAAAGGTGCATGCCTCGCCTTGTGCCTCTTGCCTTGGGTGCAAATTGGCCCTTGTGCCTTTTTTGTGCCTTGCGCTTTTAAAACACTACACACATGGTTCAAAGTACCGATATGCCTTTGCCGATACACAGGGCGTATCGATACTTTGAACCTTGCATGTACCTTCTCTGAATTAATGAATATAGTTATTGTTAGCGCAGGGGTATTTCTGTCTTTATACCTTGATTGATGTTGCTGATCTGTAATGTTGTGTTGGAACATGTGCTCTTAACTTAAGTAAGGGCACATAGGTCTTTTCAGTCATGTTTTAATAATAATATAAATACTTACTGGCCGACTTGGAGAAGTCAGGTTGACTCTTTCAGTTCGAACCTGAATTCTTTCTTCTCTCCTTCTCTCTCTCTCTTTCTTTATCACCTTTTCTTCTTCTACATAACTGAACTCAGTCAGGCCAAACTCTAAGGCAGACCTGAATTATAACAGTTATCTTTTCTTGAGAAAAAAATAGTCATGTTGTGTTTGTTGTTCATATGGAGTAATTTGTTTATGCTCTGTTCTAGTCATTCACTCTCTTGAGTGAAAGCTCAATGTCTTGGTTGTTTTAAATAAGAAGATTGGGCTGTATAGACAAGCACTTTTGACATGCTGTTATGTATGATCATCTTACTCTCAATACAATATTGTTACATTTTATTTAGAATTTTAAATTGTGAAGCCCTTTTATTAACTCTCACTGTTATCAGACAGCTTGCCACTGCTACAGATGGAGTTCCCTTGTTTGAGATTTACCTGGCCATGAACGACAAAGGTGAATATAGACAGCAGGTATGTTCTCATGATTCATTGGAATTCCTGTTATTTAATATGTTGTATAAATTCAAATCGTTATATCCACATTTGAAAATTGTTTGCATGACCTTGTGTACTTAATTGTAATGGGATATTTCTGTCTATATTTCACTGCTTATTAATATTTCCTTCTATAAAAGTTTAAGTTGTTTATATAAGTTGTTATTCTCTTCTATATCCTTCCTACTCTATGCTTTCCTCTATCTAGAGATAATACTAGATGCTTGATGTTTCAAACCTGAAGGTGTCTATACCATATCATTTTTTTTTCACCTGTTTACATATCAGGTTTGTTATATTACCTTGATTATTACATGAGTTGTTTTACCATGATTATTACATTTACAACCATCTGTATGTTTCTATTGCCTAAGAGTTGCATGGATTTCAGGCAGTATACTTGAAACAGAATAGGGGGAGCTCTGGAAGTTCTCCAAAGAAGTCATCCAGCAGATTAGATGCTAGCAGCAGCTTAAATGAGTCAGCTGAAGGAAAAGATGATATATCTTCTACAATTACCGAAGATACCGAAGAAGATGGTGACGACAGAGATGATGATTTTGATGCGGCTGAAGGGCTATCTGGTTTTCAGAATATCTTGCAGGATATGATTCCTGGAGTCAAAGTCAAGGTTTTGAAAGTGACATCACAAGGGAAGGTAGACAGAGATATAATCTCAAAGGTAATTGAACAGATCATGGAGGAAGAAGATGAAGAAAATGATATGGAGCTAGATATTATAGAGACAGAAGACACAGATAAAGCTGAGAAAGATCAAGATGGGATTGAAATGAATGATGATAGTGGAGTTAGTGAAGACAGAAGTGAAATGGCAGTGAATGTTGTAATTGGTGGTCTTGTACAACTTTCAAACAATGTACCTTCTAAGGATTTACTTCGAGTGCCAGCCAGGCTAGAGAAAAAAGGACGCTTATCGTTCTCATTTTCTATAGAAAAAGATGGCAGTAGACAGCAAGCTGGTAGTAAAGGAAAGGCATCACCAGCTAAAAATGATATTCTTCATGGTCAACGCAGCATTGACCGTATAATGTCTGATCTTGCCAAGTTTATCATCACAAGGGAGAAAATACCCATGAAGGTTGGGTTTCCCTCGTTTGTTCACTTATATTAGTTATTATTATTATTAGTGTTGTTGTTGTTATTGTTATTGTTATTATTGTTGTTGTTGTTCTTCTTCTTCTTATTATTTTTATTCTTCTTCTTCTTCTTCTTCTTCTTCTTCTTCTTCTTCTTATTATTATTATTATTATTATTAATTTGCTTGAGATGGGTTAGCCAGCCAAGAAATTTAAAGAAGTTAACCTAAAAGATGGTTGATCCTTGTATCATAATCTGGATTGTGCAGGTGCTTAAAGATGTAGGAGAATTAATAAATCTCACCCTTAACCAAACTCAAAACCATCAACTTCTATCTGGGCCAACAACTTTTAATCGCATTGAAATACCGACATCTTCAGATCCTCTGACAGGTGATTTAATTAGAGAAAATATTGATTTAATTTACATGCTACCATGGGGTTCTGTATTAAGATAAACTATCAACTGATTGAGAAGATTCCCATTTTTAACAGGACTATACATTGGAGCTCATGGGTTATACACCTCAGAAGTTATTCATCTTAGGCGCAAATTTGGTCAGTGGCAAGAAGATGGTGGGACTCAGAAGGTTCAGAATCTTGAATTTTATGAGTATGTGGAAGCAATAAAACTAACAGGGGATCCTTATGTACCAGCTGGCCAGGTATTTTTTTTTTCTTTTGCTGATTCAATTACATCATATGTTGAGTCATTGATATTGGATCATTAACAATAACTTTATTAATTTATGAGCATACATTGATAAATTGAACTTGTTTAATCAGCATGTTGCTATATCTAATGAAACTTATAGATAAAAAATTTAGTTTTACATAGCAGCAGCAAGATTTGTATATCACTCCATTAATCAATAGCATTGTATCACTTCTAGACGGTCTAATAATTATTATTCCCCTGATTAATTTTGGGCTTTTTGAGAAGGTTTTGTATATCAAACAGTGTGTTTTTATCTTCTGCTAATAGTATACAGTGGTGAAAACACAAATGATTTTATTGAATGGATTTGAATCCTCCTAGGATCCAAATTTTGTTCCTCTGCATCAGGCATATACATGGTGTGACTAATAGGAGGATCATAAAAATTATTAAATGGCATACAATTTGTAGGAATGATTTTGGCTCTGAAGGGGTTTCTTGTGTCCAAAACCAATAACAAGTATGCAGTTTGGATATGGATGAAACTTCAATGTTGCATCTTAAACTTACACTATGATGTCACAGTCATGCATTGATTTAAAAGGTGTGCCTAGGCGCAATGGCAAGGCACATTTTAGGGTATGCACCTTGCCTAGGTCCCAGGTGCAGCACATTCAACAGGTGTCTGCTTGGTACACCTAGGCATGTGCTTGGTGTGCCTTGCGCTTCAGCCCAGGCCCATGCCTTTTGAAAATTTGTGCATTTTTCTGTTTTTATGCCCAGCAGCTGGGTCGAGGGCTCCCCCCCGGACCCCTGATGAAGCCCCTCAAGGTAAGCCCAAACAATCCATATTAGGGTCTTAAATTTTTAACCCCTATAAAAAAGATTTTATAATTTTAATTGTGTTTTAAAAATATCTTTGTTAGGATGAATGAAAGAGCAATATCTGTAGTTCCAATCAAGTATTTAATCTAACTAGGGTCCTAATATGGACTTGTTTGGGCTTGCCTTGAGGGACTTGGTACAAAATTGGCTCGTAAAATCAAGAATGCATAATGTTTAACATAACATTAGCTATTTGAAGTAATGCAATTGGTGGAAAAATAAAGAGATTATTGATAAAAAAAGAAATTGTGAGTTTTACATGCTTGAATATGTTTTATATGTTATGCTTGATTTTATTTTTAAATTTTCATTTTAAATATGTTTTACATGTTATGCTTATGTATTTTAATTTGAGATAATAGTTTTTTTAAAACATTTATGTTGAAATTTAAGTTTATATTTTTAATTAATATTATATTTAATGTTTTTAATTTTTTGGAATTTTTAAACTTTTTCAGCATTTTTGCACCTTGCTTTGAAAAGGCGTGTGCCTCGCACCTCTGGTGCAAAATGCCCCTTGCATTTTTAAAATACTGCCATCATGGCTTTTAAAAATCTAGAAGGGCAAAGGGGGAACTGCTGATTATGCTCTTGACATGCTGAATTTGAAGAATAAATATATTTATGAAGTCATGGCTTTTAAAAATCTAGAAGGGCAAAGGGGTAACTGCTGATTGTGGTCTTGACATGCTGAATTTGAAGAATAAATATATTTATGAAGTCCAAGAGTGTTGCTTAAAAGCTCATGGAGGATACTCTAGAATCTAGACGGTATGGAGGGAATCTTCTGTTGAGCTGTAGAGGTATTTGGCTGCTACATTGGGGAGAAGAATGAAATGAAGTTGCTAATCATGATCTATTAGTGGGAAAAGGACAGAGGCCGTTTGGAGTTGCACCAACTTTGGCATGAGATTTTGACTCTAGTAATGAGTATGTAGAGGAAATACTGCTGTGTTTGGCATCAATTTTTTTTGACAATTCATTATTTTGTAGCTATTCTCCAAGGTCAAATAACATTGAACCTGTGGAATGGGTGGACAACAATGACAATGCTAGGTTTATAAATCAAATGATGACATTCTTTTCTTGTTTCATTTTAACAGGTGTGCAACTTGGGTGGGTCCAACCCAAGCCCGACCTGACCCTGCCTGTATGTATGTGTGAAGTATGCACATGTACATTTGTAAATGAAATTTGTACATATTTTCAATCAATTTTACTCAAATTGGGCCATAAATCCCAATTGTCTAAAAATGTAAAAATAAGTTCTTTCAAATCTGACTAACCTGGCCTGGCCCAGCCCAAGCTCAACCTGGGTTGTATTGGGTTAAGCTCAGGTTGGGCCTGGATTGATAAACTTGGGTTGGGCCAGGCCTGAGCCCGAGGTTTGCATTTTTAGGGTTGGGCTTGAGTTGACCTTCAAACTGACCTAAAACGCCCAAGTTGCACCCCTGCATTTTAATAAAGTTTCCTGTTATCCATAAAAAAATCATAATTAGATAAGCTCAGCAGAGCATATGCAGAGACTTGAGATTTGAAGAAATAAAGGCGAAGCTTGAACTACTGAATGAATCTTATTTTTTTGTTCTTGGTTGTGCTATTTATGCCATTTGATTTACTGTCTATCTGAGGAATAGACCTTATCCAGATCCAATAATGCAGAACTAAGCAAAATTTTGTCAGGATATGGATCTCAGACCATGCATTTGCTTCTAGGATATATCCCATGATCTAATATGGATAACTAAATGATTGAACACGAGCCACTCCAGTCAACTGGATTCCAGATTCAACATGAGTACGGGGTGTGAATTAGGTTGCCCAATTTGAAGAATTTCAACCACATTGGGCTCAGGTTCAGGTTTGGGCTCATTCAAAATTTTACAAGTTCTCAACCCAACCTGACTAAAGTTGCACCTGTAAATGATGGATTTCACTATTTGAATACCGACTAGATCTGACTAATCTTCATCAGATTATATGGCTTGTTTTATGCCCATGTTAAAACCAGTGCCGTGTTTATCACTGTGATGCATTTTATCTCTATTTCTATGAAACTTTGGAGCAAAATAGGACATCTGTGGGTTTATGCAGGTAGCATTCCGTGCAAAGGTTGGCAAAAGAAACCAGCTACCTCACAAAGGGATAATTCCTGAAGAGTTTGGAGTGGTACTATCTTCTTCGGAAAGATTCCAGCCACCTTTATTTTTTTTCTTTTTATTTCTTTCATTTTCCCCTTTATTAGTTGATGTATTTATAATCTATTTTCTATTCAGGTTGCTCGATATAGAGGACAAGGCAGGCTTGCAGAACCTGGCTTCCGGAATCCACGATGGGTAGATGGTGAACTTGTTATTCTTAACGGAAAGGTTTTCATTTTTTCACAATTTCTTGTCCACTCTATGATCTGAAATTTGCAAAATATACTTTCTGTTTCATTTGTGCGTTGCTGCTACTGATTATATGATGCTTAACTAATTGGGTCTCTGCAGCACATTAAAGGGGGACCTGTTGTTGGATTTGTGTACTGGGCTCCTGAATATCATTTCTTGGTATTCTTCAATCGGCTAAGGCTACAGGAATAGATTCACATTGTTCATACAGTTTTAGCATATTCCTTTTGTTCAGATTGGATGAGGTAAAATGTTCCTTCATTAAGACCAATAAGAATTCTACATGTCATTCCATAGTTGCAATAAAACAGCACGAGAAAAGCTCATTAACAATTAAAAGCTTGGTAACACCTTTGGGCAACTGAATCTCATTAATAATTTTCAGTTGCTAAATGTCCAGGAATGACTAAATATCTTATATGTTTGCCATTGTTTAGCACAGGCATGAAGTGTCATGAATGTCCCGAAGACATGCTCTGCTAGCATGTATATGCATACAGATTAAGGTAAAATGCTGGAACAAGTGGGAATTCTCCAACTTTGGATATTTGTTTATCTACTTTGTGGTGGACCAAATCCTGCTGATTGCATTTGAGACCCATTGAAGAGTATATTTGGCCTCCAGGAGGAGAAATTATGTAAAATAGACTTTTGTTAGTTAAAAAGAAAATAGCAAGGAGTTTTATGTTTCTCTTGGGAAGATTTAGGGCGGATGAACTTCCTTCTTTGTTATTGATGTTGTCATCATCATGATCAATCAATTTTGTGTGGGAAAGTGGGGTTTTGTAGAACTGAAGCAGCTATTCACTCATTCAGAATGATGCATTTATGATCTAATGCACATACACGTTCTAGCATCATATTATTCATAAACTTTACAAGCACAACTTGTGTTCCACATTGGCTAGCTTTGGGTAATCAATCTAGATAGAACAGAAAAATCAAATGACAATCTCTTAACATTGGCTAGCTTTGTGCTGTATCTTTTTGCAGGTTTTTGTTACGATAATCCAGTAAGGTATTATCTTTTGAGACCATTAAAGAGAAGGTACTATTTTGAAGTAGAGCAGTAGAGAGAACTAGGTGACATTGGAGCATATGTGCAGAGCTGACTCACTGACAGGAACACTTTAAACACATTCATTTTTCTTCAGGCACTTCTTTTCCTCCCTGTATATCAATGGGATTGCATTCCTTTGTATATAGTGCAAGTCAACTAATCAACAGGTTAAAATCTTTGACGTGTTATTTATCAGAAAAAGAAATTTTTATCTTTGTTACATCATGTTTCCACATCAAGCTTATAAATATGCTCCCTTGTGCATGTGTAGAATGGCCATAGGATTTTATTTTGTTTTTATTTTTAGGCCATGACTTGCTATAATTGCTGAGGTGTAGCTCATCAATTGGAAATTCCATGTTAATTTTACTTTGAATATATAATTGGAAAGAAATTTAGGATCCTTTTGGTTTCCCTTGGGAATGAAATCTCATTCCTGCTGATTTCAATTCCCATTCCCATTTTTGTCTGAACCAAACAGATTATAGGAATAGACCATTCCGATACCGATTCCGATTCTGTTCGAATGGAATTTCATTGTGGAGGGAATGGCCATTCTACCAAGAACGAGAATGGGATTCTGATTCTACTCAACTAAACAGTTGGAATTCGATTCCGATTCCAGACCCCCATTCCTGTGAGCCAAATGGGCCCTTGCCATCAACATGTTCTAATGAGCTCATATCTACTATCCACATGTACCAACAAGACGCAACAGCCGTTCATCGGGAACTTCTCCTCATGAACGAAGATTTTCCCGATGTGTAGTGCGGCTGTAGTGTCTTCTGTCTTGTGACTGTGAGTAGGCCTGTGGGTCTGGACTTGTCTCTAACTACAAAATTGAAGAGGCATTCACTGGTGTGTTTCTGTGGACATAGATATAATGTTTGGGGGACTGCCAGGCTTTTGACGGAGGGAGTGAGTTGACACCAACCTCATTTTTGAAGGGCCAGGACTAACCAAGACGTGCCAAACTAGTAAATTTTCTTTAAGTTGAATAGAACGCGGAACCAAGTCTGTCTGTAGACTAGCATTTGCATATGATACAAAACTACAGAAGTAGAACGAAGAAAAACAGAGCCAGATGGTTTTTTCCGTCCTTTACCTGACATTGCCGGAGTTTCATTGGATAATACTTTCATTTGATGCTTTAGAATTCATTAACTGATGTGCCTTTTCTTTTCTTTTTAATTGAGGTGGCTTGACTACCACCATTATTTGTAGGGTTCTGTTGGGAATGAAGGGAATTCGCATGGGCTTCCCACATGTACATCTCAGCGTGCATTGAAAATATCTCTTGTACTTGTTATGAATACAAGGTTGGGATGTACTGTGGGGAGCACTCTCTGTCTGTAGGGAAGCCCATGCCAATTGCTCTTCAGGTGCAGTCATTCTCATGCTATTTATTTGGAGTTATATTCTGCTAAAAGTCCCCTTTCCAAGGGTTCCTTTTGGCTGATTCCTTTCTTGTTTCAATATAAGACTCATCCCTTTGTACAATAAATGTCATGTTTGGCACTATTGTGGATTTGTCAAAAATTGATGCCATGTCAGAGCCACATCAACATCTCAGAAACCGGTGATGAAATTTTTCAAAAATCATTGAATAATAAATCTCTGAAATCGGGCCTGCACGAGGAATTCCAAACATCACCAAAATCGGTGAAGAGGAACATCACCAAAATTGTAGGTCTGATTTGCAATTCTCGATTAGTATAAATAGCTTAGGATTCAACACCAAGGGAGACTAAAGCCGGCTTGTATACAATGTTAGTGTTCTTTGGTTGATCGATCATCTGATCTGGGTAAACCTCTCAGCACCCCCCCCCCCCCTCACTTATTACGCTACGTGGGAAAAAAACCTCGAGCCCCATCTTTCTGGGTTTGGAAATCTAAGGTTCTACTTGCTGCTAAGGTGCCTTTTCCTTCAAAACACATATATTCCAAGAAAACGAATGACTGATAAAACTTTTCGATCCGAAATTCCTTCCTTTAAAGCTTACAGATTGAGGCCTCTCTTCGTTTGATGCGCTTTGACTTTGGTTGAGAGGGAATCAAAGCCTTGAGGCAAGCGATGCTGGTGGCTTTTCTTCGCCTGTAAAAGCAGGATTCTGAAAGTTTAATCTTCTGATGGGCGGGGTTTGAATTGGGAAGGGAGGCCCTCACTCCTCAGTTGTTCATCCTTGCACGAATAACTAAGGTTCCAGCAATCCCTTGCTGGACGTCACGGCCAAACCTAATTGCATGGCGTAGACAATATACTACGTTATGTGAGCAGTGATCAGCCCTTTAGAGTGGTTAAAAAAAAACTTTTTTATTTTTTTCATGTGGAAAGCAAGAGAATTTTCAATTCTTGGGACAAGGATCTGTTTATTATGTAAAGCCAAGGTAATATTATATCATTATATGTATATACCTTGTTTGGTTGGTTGTTCTTGTGAAAAAAAAAGATTCCTTTTCTTGATTAAACAACAAGGCCTCGGTGATTTTTAATTTTCTGGGCAAGTATATTTATCCGGGCAACTGTTTTTTCAGGTAAAACTTATCCGGGTAAAAAGAGAGGTGAGAGAGAGATAGCATTACCTGCGTTTAATAAGTGTGCGAGTAAATTATTTATCCACCTTGCCGGAGGCTATCAGTTACTTCTTCATTTATTGTGAAACACAGTATAACAGCAAATAATGAACTGGGATGTTATGATTAGTTTACCCGTTGATCAATTTATCCCACTAAAGAGTGAAAATTGGCGATAATATTGAAGAGTTGCACAAAAAACGCTAGCACTAGGACTCATGTTTTGCACAAAATTTTTGTATTCTTTTCAAATTAAATAGACTTGGTAAACCAATTCAATCCGAAAAAACAAGGTTAAGATCTCATATTTAATTACCTAAATTTGAGAATGACCCGATATTTGGCATCATAGTTGAAATCCTTCATTGTAATAAAAAATAAGGATGACGCCATAAACTCTTTTGCTGACCAATTTATTCAAAATCCTTCATTGTAATAAATAAAAATGGAAAAGAAAAAGATTCTCATAAGTAAACTCTTACATGTAGAGTCATGGAACTGGTGCCATCTGATTTATCTTTTGATGACCAATTTATTCAAAATCAAACATTATACTATGATAGGGTAAGTAAAGAAGTCCATTGGATCATTTATATAGTTGCAAAAATATATATATATTGATCCACTGATCTGATCTACCCTCGTGTCCATACATTTATGTTAGGTCAGGTGGGTCCCTCATCTGCACAGATTGATGGTGTTTTTGATCACTTGAAAAACAGCCACTTATTAAATAAAAAGAAAGCGACTTCACTTCAGTCTTGAGAGTTGAGATCAATATCAAAAAGATTCAAGTCCCCTTCAGAGTTCAGACCTTACCATGCATAGATTGCACTGTGCTTGAGTGAGTACTGAGTACAACTACAACCAGCTGGGAAAAGCATGTGGAATAGATATAAATGTACATTGAACTCATCTACTCATCACACACCACAACAATTTCTCATAACTATTTTGTTTATTTCAATATTTCTTTTAATTTATTATTATTATTTTCAACTTGTTCAGTGTTGTCTTTTTTGGGACTTTTTTTTTCCAAGTATAAACTGCTTTTGCACTGGTTTGAGCTGGACCATATTTTTCATTTGTGATAGGCTGGTAGCTAGTAGCTAAGGGTCGACCTTCATTTGTCAAAACCAAAAGACGTCCTTTTCCTTTGTCAGAACTGGGAATCTGGGGCAGTAGGGCCCGGGCCACCCTTAAAAGGCCTGGTGCCTCGTACTACTACGTCCCGTGTTCAGAGGATCTGCCTCCATGGATTCCACCTTGATATAATATTAACAGCGACATAAATCAGCTTCAACCCATTATTTCGTTTTCTTGTTTCATGAATTTGGACGGTAGAGAAAAAAAAGTTTCATTTAAAAAATATCTTATAAATCAGATGTTTAATTAAGGGCGGTTGATGGTGTATGATCTGCTAGCTCCCTGCTTTGGACGCCGGATTAGGTAGATTGTTTGGTTGAGCTGTAACGAAAAAGAGAAGATTAGAGTACTTAGGCTATTTTATTCGATGTGGGCACTTTGATACTTAAGTCAACAAATTGTAATTTTGAAAGAGCTAAAAAGTGAGAGAGAGTTAGAGAGCTTGGGTTTATGAGGTTAAAGATATAGGCGGGCTGCCATGAATATCATGAAATGCGTCTAGGATTTCTGGCCCGTTTGGTTCGGAGGTGGTTTCAGGCCTGGGGATGGACTCCGTGCAAATAAGTAATGTTTATCCAATCCCGCCCAAAATGGGCAGGTGATAACTAGCTCTTCCAACATGGCGTTGTGATCCCGGGGAATTCAGAGGCGATAGCCTGCTTAAGGGGGAGGTCGCTCGACACACTAGGTAAGTCGCTAACCGGAGTGAGGTTAGATTGGTGGAAGCAGGATGCCTCTTACGCTGACCCGAGATCCTGCCAAGTTGTTCGCAGTTCGGCCTACCAAGGTGGTGTCGAGGTCACTGAAGTGTCCGAAGTGTTCTGCTTATGTGGTGTCGATGTGTCACTCTGCTATTCTACAATGCCACGCGTTACGGTATCATTGGAGGACCAAATTACCCCTAAATCAATTGCCCCCCACTTCCAAGTCTGGCATGGTTAGTCCGACGAGAGAGTAATTTTAATCCGAGGTGATTTGGTTCGATTTTCGTCCTCGTTTGTGGTCCGAACGATGGCTTGGGATCAGGTTGGTTCGGTTGGTCCAACCTAGGCACAAGGTAGCATACCGGGGACGTGCGGATGCCACACAACCATTAGGTCACACAAACGCAAAAAAATGCACTAAACTGATTTTGCCTCGGAATACGAACCGTCACACCCTTGTGAACCATTAGACCTGACTGATCTCAGCCGTCCATAGTTTGGTTCATCCGTCTATAAATAGGACCCTTAGGGGCCCATTTCTCTTGTCCCTATCTTTGGAGTTCTAGTGAGATCGTACAGCTTGGCGTTGCCAGAGTGATCGTTGTTGTCAGCAAGGTCAGTTTATTTGTCCTAGGTGAGTAATCTCCCTTAGTTCTGTTTCATTCATAATGTTTGATAGTGAGTTCAAGGAAGAGAGGGGTCCGTCCTTCTAGGTCGAGGAAGGGACCTTGGCTCAAGACTAACGAGGTTCTCACAAAAGGCCTCGTCTTCTTGTAGGGCTAAAGCACCGAACTAG